AGACACAGGTTAATCCCATGGTGTAACACAATCCAAATGGCACCTTCTTTCGGGCAAATTCTGATGGTTTCTTTAAAGCAAAAATCCAGCCTGCTGTGGTTGCTAAACTGGGCTCTGTTTCTTTGGGTGTCTTTCCATTTTCCAAGAAAAATAAACTGCAGGCCGTGTATTTTTAGATATGCCATCTGATCACAGCTAGTCATATATCAGTCCCAATACCGTGAGTCAAGATGCTGAGCTCCGCTGCTGAACTCCCTTGGGCAAGAACTAGTGGCTTGAGCCATCCTGAGTGTATTAATAAATCAGTGTGTTTAAAATAATCATGCGCTTTCCTAGGCAAGCTGCTCATGAGGAATCATACCATTGGGATTTATTGCTGCTAGTGTCTTAGTAGCTCTGATTCTCTGGGTGAACTTAATACTGCCATGAGTGGGAGATGAACAGCCCTGGTATGAGACAGACCTAATCTAGACAGGGTCCGGAGTCAGCACGACTCCCCTTCCTTGCCCTCTCCTGCCAATGACTCTGATTCCTGACGTCTGTCCCTTGCTATTTCAGTCCTGGGTATCCTCCGAGGCGGCTGCTGGTTGGAGTAGACTTTGTGGTGGCTTCATGCAACAGTGGGATGTGACAGATGTCTCTCTTTGTGCTGCCGACCTGAATTTGTGTGTCTGAGACAGTGGTGAGAAACACCTAGGCACTACTCCTAACATTGCCAAACCACTTTGTGGGTGGTGAGAGAAGGGGTAGGTTGGAGGCAGCGTGTTTCCCTGGGCTGTGCCTTGTGCAACCCTGCCCTGTGCAACCCTGCTCCATGCAACCCTGCTTCACAACTCAGCCCTGGACACGTTTGGAAAGTGTCTGCTCAACCTGCCTTGCACAACAGTGCACAAATGTGGAGCTACTCATGTATTATAAGTCTCTGTCCCTCACTGGCTTGCTCCAACCCTCACAAGTTTGTGTCTCTAACACCAGTGCAGCCTGGAGACAGTTTTCTGTGTGTTTGATCAAAGCAGTGGGAAGCCTTGAGGCTGGTGTGTGAAAAATGGGCTGCCTTCTTCCTGAAAGTTTATTTGCTGAGCCACTTCATCACTCTAACGGCAATCAATTTATCCACATAATTGGTAGCTGGAGACAGCGTAACACAGCTTGGCAGCCTGGATTTTTCTCAGAGATGTATTGCTTGGCATATTCAACCAAGGCAAAAGGAGCCAGCCTGGCTGCTGAGGGACTGTGACTCTGCAAGTGCCAAGCAGGTGAAACCCAGCATGACAACCCAGCTTTCCCTCTCCATCCTGCCAGAAGAGGACCCTCGGGGTGAGGATGAAATTGCACCCGGCTAAATGTCCCACTAATAAGGCTGCTAATGCATTGCCGTTGCAGCTGAGATGGGTAATGACAGGTCAGGCCATGCCAGTTATGGGGGAAGGCATGCTCCGTGTCTCCAGTTTGCACTGCCCATCGGCCGGCTCCTGGAGAGCAGGCAGAGCAGCAAGATGGTGTTCATACCCCCATGGAGTGGAGGGTCTGGTTGCACAGTACTGGCTCTGCTTGGTGGAGGTCTGTGCTGACTGCTCTGCCACGTAAGCTGTCCATGAGCAATCTCCTATCCTCTGCACCTGAATGCTAGAAGTGTCTTTTTCATGCCCTACAAGAAGCTGGTCACCCTGATGAACTTGCCTCAGCTTCCTCTCCTGCTGTGCCCAGGTACCCACTTTACTAAGTCCTTCCAGATTTGTCAGCCTGAGAGGACTCCGGTGGGTTACGCTGTGGTCTCTGTGTAGGTCCATGTACTCGGAGCTCAGAGCCATTTCATCTTGCTAATGTCTACTTGTGGTGAACCAGCTGCTCTAATGTAGGTCTTTGCAGCTCTTTGTAGCCCTGGGTGAAACAGAATTTCGGCAAACCTCCACAGCATCCTCAACCTCATCCATGAGGGCAAAGCCTACTCGTGGTAGCTTCACTGTGGGGCAGCACCCAGATCCATCTCACCAGATGTCCCATAGAGAGGGCTGACAACCTCAGTACATGCAAGGATGGAGAGCTGTCTACCAGGCCACCATGCCAGGAGCTATACACCATGTTTGTTAGCCTTAGGGGCATTTCCCAGAGCCTCATCTTTTTGGCAGGTACTTGTAGAGAAGGTGGCTGGAGCCATGAAGAAGTGGGACATCTGACAGTAAATCTTTTCACACCCATGTTGAAGAAGTCATCCTTTCTGTTGTGTGATAATGGCTCTAGTGGTGCTTTTGAGGCTGTGATAGATGAGATACACATCTTTTATGGATTATGCATAAGAGGTCATAAAGAATTCAGATCCTCTGTGTCTATACACTAATGGTGTATCGATCCCAGTAAATATCATGCTGAGATTGAACTGCAGCATCCCTGGTTAGTGTCATCCTGATGGGTGACATCAGTTCTTTGGATGTCACAGCCAGCTCAGCCCAGTCCCATCTGACCCCTGCAGCTTTACTGATCCACTTTGCTCTGGCCCTGGGCTTCACTTTTCTATTTCTTGGATTCACCCTTCACCTCAGCACAATTACTTCTGTCTCTGGAATTTGTCATGCTTAGCTGGACTCTGCTGTGCCTCTCTAGGACTTACTGGATGTATCCTTAATCCGTCGTTCTGAGTGGGAGCGAAATCTACAGCTGAAAGCTACAAATTAAAACGCAAGTATGAAAACTGGAGGAGAGGTAAAAGAGAGAGCAAGAAGGGATGGCAGGGCCCTTACGATATTTACAGACGGGCTTGCTAAGAAGCAGCAGACACTCCTCAGAAGGGGCTGTAGACTTTTCCTTATGTGTCACAGGAGGTTTGCTAACGTGCACGTTTAGGTAATATATTGTCTCGCCTCCCCGTAAACCTGGCAACTGAGCGTTTATAGAATCCTGCTGTAACAGTCCATGGTGTAAAGGAAAGTCCAAACAACGTGCACTTCGGGTGTTTGTTAGAGTGTTACTCCCAGGGGGGATTTTTGGCTCCTGCTTTAAAAAGGACTCAGGAATTTGGATGTCTCTGGTTTTAGATGTCAGGACTCACATCTTCTTAAAGGATAAGGTTTCCCTGAGCGTGCTGAGCACCTGCCTGCTAAACATCCCTGCTTACGTATCTCCAGCCTGTTAAAATGCAGATGGCCAAAATCCCACAGCCCTTCTGACAAGGTGGAGTGCAGAGTTCGGTCTTGACCCCTGAAAGGAGACATAAGGGCAAGACAGCCCATGTCCCTGCAGGAACCACGTCATCCCTGGGGCACGATGCATGTAAGGGGGAGCAGAGCTGCGGCGGTTGTACGTGCGCGTGGTGGGATTTATTGCTCTGTTCAGCAGCTTCCCTTGCTCTGCTTCCAGGGGAACGTGCTGTGAGAGATGTCTCATGTACAATTCCTTCCTTGGCCTTTGCCTCCTCCTTCAAAACGAGGGAAGGAAGACTTGTAGGGTGCTTTTGGCACCTTTGCGCTCTGCGAGGAGGGAAGAAGTGGCTCCCTGTCTGTGTTTTATCTCAATGCAGTGGGAGGTGGGGAAGGAGGCTCAAGCAGAGTGAAGCAAAACGTGCTGAAATCGATTGATTATTGCTAAAAGTTGCTATGTGTCCTTGTAAGAAAGGAGAGGGGAAGAAGGGGATTTTCTTTCTAATTGCAGGTTGGCAGAGATTTCTGTGCGCAAAGGAGATAGAAAAATTTCTCAGTAAAGAGGTTTCCACCAAAGACAGGCTTCTGCTCTCACTCGTGCCAGTAGATGCTACAACAGGGAGGTGGTGGGCATTTCTGCCTCCTTTTTTCCATGGCTACCCAGCTTTCCTCTGCTCCGGGAGGGATTTACAGAGTGAGCTGAGATGCAGCATTGCGTCTAATCACGGGCGACAGAGGCATTTGCCCTGGTGATTTTCAATTGGGACTGTCATGCACACATAATAAGAATTAAACTTGTATGCCCATTCAATTTTATTTCTGAATGGGAGATTTTTAGCTTTGCTGAAGGAGCTGCCATTTCATGGAAAGGGCTGGCTTTTTGCCGAAGAAGAGATATTGGCCCCGGCGTGTGAGAAATGTTAGGAGAAAAGGCGCCTCATGTTACCAAAACACAGCTGAAATGAGTCCGAGGAGCCACATTGCCAATTCATCACACTGGACCACTGAGTACAGTTTGTGTAAATGGTGGGAGACCCTCTCTGTGTGATGTACTGTGACTGGACAAGTCTCAGCTGGCCTCGACTTGCCGATGGAGCTAGTAGGGCCATTCGTCCCTCTCACCCACCCCAGCTCTGGTCTGGCTGCTTCCCCCATCCACCCCTCATCCACCCAAACTAAAGACATTTCCATACTGTTTCCCTGGGGAAAGTTTTCTGTTTCCTAATCTTATATTATAAACTTCATCTGAAGCCCTCTCAGACCACTTGTTCATGACTTGAGTCTAAAAGCCTTGTGTCTAGCTCTGCATCTTTATAGAGCAACACTTGCAGGATGTGTATAAGTAGCTGAACTTGACAGAGGTCGTCAGTGTATGAAGGTATACTAGAAATACTCAAGTTTTCATGCAGAATCCCTCAGACAGCTCTGCCTTCAGCCTGCTTTTTACGTATAGACATTTGTGTGTCCTCACATGCACGTCACTGACTGAGGTAATGGGCCAGCACAAATGCACTTGGACATCCAAATAGGTCAGTTCAGTATCTAGGAACACCCACATCTCCCTCGATGAGACATTCTCTTCCTTTGCCCCAGCCCTAAACTCCCTGACCCTCCTCTACCCCTGCAGCTGCCAACGTAGGAGACCCTCCTCTCCAGCGCTGTTCCCACCTGTGAGAAGCCAAATTGCATCCAAATCCATGTGCTTCGCTCTTGACCCAGCTTCCGAGGATTCCCATCCCTTCCTCATGCCTCCAAACTCTCAGCCCAGCCAGGACCGGAGCACGCTGCCTTCCCAAGCTGCAGCTGGTGAATCTCCCTCTCTCCCGCCTCGCTCCCAGCCCGAAGCATGCCGCAGCCAGTACTTACACAGCCTGTATGAAAAAGCTCAGCTGCTGATCCCTGAGCCCGCTCCCAGTTTCCTCGACTGAGCGACCGTGTGCTCGTTCCCCAGCGCTCAGCCCGGCGCAGTGATGATACAGGAACCAGACCCCTTTGGTTTACTTTTACATTGACGTCAGTGTCTTTTCTAGCCTCCACGGCTCGTTTTGGTAAAAGGATGTCTTCGGGGTGGAGGGGAGGGGTCGGAAAAAGAGAGGAGTCAGGATGAGCTGGAGATGAGTTTTTGTGACATGGGCAGCCAGCGGTGGGAGGTTTTAGGGGTTAATGCTGAAGGAATGGGGGCTTATGGAGCCCACACTGACCCTGGGTGTAGATCATCACCTGGACGGGGTATGCTGGGGGCCTGACCCTCACATCTGCACGAACAACTGCTTTCCCACCTGCACCAACACCCTGACTGGGAGCACAAGTTCTGCCTTCCCCCACCTTTGGCGGTTGTTTGTACCTGGGTGCTGGTTCAAGGAGAGAGGGAATGTTGAGGGACCAAATGAAGTCTGGTGCCCCTACACAATGCCACATGCACACAGTTGCCCAGTTGTGCTGCCTCTGTGTCCAGGCCAGGACCAGTGTCTGTCTCCAAGGGAATAGGGAGATGCCAATTTGAGTTACTTTTACCATCTCAAAGGATGGCCTTAAAGACATGGGCTCCATGATCCATGCAGTTCTAGATAAGTATGCACCTGAATACGTCTATCTGTGCCTACAGATCAGCCTTTTGCAGGCTTGCAGGTCGAAGCATCTAGTATTCAGATTCAAGGACCTGAATAACTCACCTCTGCCTAGACCCTTGTAAGGTTGGAGAGCACTTGTCTCCTGTGGAGGTCTTGCTCTGTCAGGTTAAGGCTCAGATTTTATCCTGGGATTTTTGCTGCATGGTAAGCACATCCATCGCCCAGCTCTTTGCACTCACTGTGCAGCAGACGTGTGCATGGACACGTTTTAGGGGCATGTAAAGGACTGATGCTTGTGAGGGATTTGGAGAACCTGCAAGTGTGATCGTTAATGATGAATTATTCACAGCAGATTAATCACACTTATGTTTAGGGCTTCTTTCTGGCTGGGAGAAAAGCCAGGTTTCTTTGCATGGCCAAATAACATCCAGGAATTCCAATGTAAGGCTTTCACGTCCTAAATGCTGATAGTTTTCTATTAGGTTCGTGACTATTAATTCACTTGAGTAGTATGATGCAAACGCTTGAGCACTCAGGCCTTAGAGCCTCATGTAAGGGCAAATATGGAGCTTGCCCCAGTGCAGTTACACGACTGCAATCAAACCTGTGCTCTCTCTGGGTCGTGGATGACCTTTCTGTGATGCATTTGTTCAGCTCTTGACACAACTGGCCTGCTGTCATTATTGAGATTAGTCTGTATGAATCCAGGCACCAGCATTCATAAACAGCCCCAACCACCTGGTGACATCAATGTAATTGGGTTGGTTGGCCCTTGGAAACTGTAGTAATAAAACCTTGCAGGGAGCAGGGATTATTGACAAGGAAGCATCATCTGGTACCACCAGAATAATTGGGCTGTACTGGTTTATTTGAAAACCAGTAGTGAGAAAATAGTTTTTGACCTCAGTGTGCCATCACTACAGAGAAGAAAAGACACAGGAAGAGAAAGCTCGTAGGCTGTTCAGCACATCCATGCCAGAGCCAAGTAATAAGTCCAGTTTCTTGGCCATTGGATCACACACTCTCTGTCATAAATAATGCTAAATTCTCAAAGACTCCTGGTGTCCTTGTCAGAATCAATACATTGTTCATGGCTGAAGAAAGACAGAGTCTTATAAAAACCAGAAGAAGAGGTCCTCGTAAATCACCATGTCTATACTTAGAAATGTGTTAAACCTTCTAAGTTTGATTTCAGAGCACATAAAGTTTTTTTTTTCTTTTTCCAAGTTGAGAAATCCATCCAAAGGTCAGTCAGAAACAGGAATAAAACTGTCTTTGAAATCTCAAGATGCTGTAATAGCATTTTTGGCAGTAAATGATAAACTTGAACGGTTGAGGTTTACATGGCAGATGAAGCGAACATGTATTTGTCTATACATTATATGACCCAGCAGTGGCCCTTTTTCATTTCTTCTCCCAACCTATCAGACTATTTATAGATTTTTACTACAAATGGACCTCCTGAACAGAAGAAAGAAGACCAGCTAGTTCTGAAGAAACCATCACAGTGGAGCTGTGCCCATAAGCCATCATTCCTGGGCAGGAGTCCCATTTTAGAGATAACCTCCCAGGTAAGCAGGAATATTAACTCTTCATTTACCTGGCAGGGATTTTTACAGTCTTTCACAGCTTTTGGAGGGTGTGAAGGTTGTTCAGGGAGATCTTATGATCACGAAGGTGTTGGATTGAAAGGGAATTGTGGCATATCCTGGCTAGGGCTCTCAGAGATGTCTGGGCAATGAGGTCTACTAGCCACTACACAGAGTACATCTGGCTGAAGAGACTTAAAAGCCATGTATTCAGAGCTCTCAATTCGAATGAAAAGCCTAGGCAGGGCAGTCCTTGATGGGTGGATGGTGATAACACCCAAGGATGGTAGAGATTTGGGGTCTCTTCTGTGTCATGCCTCATAGATAGGAAGATCTTTACTGGAGGCCTGCATTGCAGTCCTTGCTCTGTTAACTCTGGAGGAGTATATTGAGGGTGTGATTTTTTGGAAATATCTTAATGTTCATTAGAGTGGGGACTGCCATGGCATCTCTTCCATGACCCCGGCTATGTAGTTGCGTAATAATGTGCCCTGTCTGTACAGGGAATCCTAGTGGAAACTGGAAGATCTTCTGCAGATGTGGATATGGGGGCCTCGTCCCTGGATATTTTAACTTGGTAACTGAGAGTTGGGTGATGTGAATTTGAACACCTCTGTGTGCAGGAGAGACTTTAACTGGGAGCTCTGCAGTGAGAAAAAGAGTTCTCTCCCTATTTTGAGTGAGTTTCCAAGCTATTGGGTAAAAACCTATGAATAAGCGGGTCTTCATCCTTTGGTTGCTCTTATGTAGGGCTGGTTGTGCTGAGGTGCCTCCTGGGCTGAACTGGCATTGTTCTCAGCAAGGCTCAATGGTGAGATGGGTCTGGTGAGCAGACCAGACCTGAGAACACAGGTACCTCTAGGCTTGAGCAGGTATCTTCAGGCTCCTAGTGAAAAAAGATTAGCAAAAATACCCTAGATACACTGGGAACTTCAAACTCCCATGTAGTTGGTGAAGAAGAGGTTTAGGACCACAGTTTTAGACATCTGTGCTTGAGGTAGGAGCTAGGGAGGCTACAGGCTCTCAGACCCTCCACGAAGATGAGGTCCCACAGGTCCTCTGTTGGGTGGCTGCAGACTGAGGAATGTTTTCTTCTTCCAAGCTGAGCAGCAGCTCCCCTAGCTCTGCAGGGTGGACTTGGCTGCACATTGCCTTTAGGATGTCCTGGTGTGTATTCAGCTGCTCAAGGCTCCGCGAGAGATGCTCCTTTCCCCAGCTTCCGCAGGCAGTGTCAGACTTAGAAGGTTTCAAGCTGCTGGGGAGACGTTTTAGGTACTTAGATGAGCTGATGCACTGGCTTTCCAAGCGCACACTGTGTAGAGGAGCACAGAGCACCTGGGGCAGCGTAGACTCTTGCTTGGCACATATCTGAGGAGTTTTCTAGTGTGGAAGAAAATATTCCCTGCGGTTCCCAGAGCTGGGAGCAAAGGTGGTGCTTGGAGGCTGCAGGAGCACGTCTCTGTGCTTTGAAGACACGAACATCCAAGGTGTCCTGGGGAGAGAGAGAGCAGAGTGAGATCCCGCCGCTCCAACAGCTGCTTCCAAACCACCTCTGCAGGCAGGCCAGTCAGCATCACTCCAGACACAGCAGAGGACTCTCCAAAAGCAAACATGCAGAAGTGTAGTCCAACAAGGGTTCTGCACTTCATGTTGCCAAAAAAAATCCCTCTCACCCAGCACAGGAGGACACACCACTCTCAGACTCCTTGTGAGCAGCATGGGAGCTCTTTGCTACAGTAACATTTGCAAACGACATCTCTTTGCAAGATGCAAAAGCACCTCTTTCCCAGTCAGCCTGCTGTCTCCTTCTGCAGGAGGTGCACATAGGTGCATTTCATGGCACGGATCTGCATGGCTTGGCTTAGAGGAGGAAGCAGAGAAGAAATGCTTGGGGCTGGACTCAGGCTGTCTGTATGAAGGTGTCTGGTCCCTCTTAACATGCTGGTGCAGACTCACTGAGCTCACAGGCCTCCAGCAGGACTTGTGTCATGTCTCGCTGCCCTGTGAGGGGAGCAGGTTTTACTAAAGCATCTCAGACATCACCAGACATTTGACCCTGACACAGCACAGACCGTTGGATTCAGTCTGATGTGAAGACTCCTAAATGTTGGTATTTCCCTGTCCAGATTCCTGCTCCAGTCACTGGACATGTAGTCAATACAGTTGGGTAGTCTAGATAGAGACTCAGTCACAAGCCAGAGGGGTCTCTAGTCTGTTGCCCACATGCAAATGCTATTTTAGAGGTGCTAACCTGGCCTTTTCTTGCTCTTCTTTAATGACACGGCCTCCCACAGGCCATAACCGATGGCCAAGGACAACTCCAATGGCTCAGGGTGCCACCAAGCGCACAACCGAATTGAGCCCCAGCACCCTCTCCCAAGCTGAGTGGTCAGTGGTCTTGTCACTTGGCCAACTGATCCAGTGAGGGATCAGACAGGTCAGATTTCAGCCTCTTCCACCCTTGTTAAAGCCTTACCTGTGTGATCAGTGGGGGGAGTGGTGGTGGTGGTGAAGGTAAGCGAAACTGCTAGAGGTCCTTTGGCTGCAGCGCTGCCCCAAACATTAGCCCCATAGGGAAAACTTCACAGCAAGGTTTACAGTCACAAGGGACCAAAGCAGACAGCGAGTGGATTTGTCTACGAAGACGTTTCAATACTGTCCATGCAGGCCTCCAGGGTAAACAACAACTGGACTCCCACAGTGCTCCCATGATGCCCTAACCATGCAAAGCCTCCCTTCCGTGTTTTTGCAAACATGTTTTTTCCTCTTGCCTTGCAAAAGCAGCTTGTTGTGAATCGGAGCTGGTCCATCAA